CCCTCCCAGATAGCCCTAAGTGCCGGGTCTGCCCTGTATCTTCTTGCTGTGAAGCTCTGTATGGCTGTGGTCTCTCAGCCAGGCCAAGACAGATGATGGACTCCAATCTGGTGTGGTCAGGGTCTGTGTTAAACGTCAGGGCATATTCGGGTGTGGAGTAGATAAATCCAGAGTGGACAGCACAGACCTGCTTCCCAGAGAGATAAAGCACTGTGGTGCTCTCCCACTGCCTTCTCCAGCAAAGCAAAAACATGAAACCAACTTTCTGAGTGCTCATTTGCTGCCTGGTAAGGCACCTGAACGTGCTTCTGGTTCAAGCATGTCCTCAGGCCCTGCGTACAAAGAACACAAACGTGACTCTTACCAATGATAAACACAGAGATGACGCTGGTTCTCATAGGTATTCTCAGCAGTGCTACACAATAAATATTTATATACAATGCAGATTGTTTTCATGAGACGAGGAATGCAAACTGGCTAGGAAAAACAGGGAAGAAAATACCAAGTTTGATAAGCTGTTACTCAGATTTTCATATGGAACAGCTCAGAGAATGGAAACAAGAGGATATTTACATGTTCTGGCCTACTGGGAACGCACCAAGAGGCTGCATTATATTCAGGAATGCTGCCTTGTGTGCAAACCAGGAAACCACTTGTTGCTGGCTCACCCAGCAGGACAACTAGAGAGAGGAAGGGCAACACTCAGCATAAGAGACGTGAAAACACAACAGTGGAAACCCCGTGTATTACACCTACACTGAACAAGCTCGTTGCACAACTTTCTCAAGCTTATCACTGGCACTGCACTATAATGGAAACCCTATTGCCATTGAAAATGAGTAGTGAGTTACACCCTCCTGTGCTTTTGAAAACTGGCTTTCTGAAGAAGGAATTTAAGCTGAAGGATTTATGGAGAAATAGAAGGAAATTTCCTTGTTTTACCCTTGATGCAGTAGGAAACTGAAAGCTGTGATTCACAAATGGGAACATCCCCCTAGCAAAGGAGCTGGTACTCTGCTTTCTCATTTTCCAAAACTCTGAGTCACTTTCTCTGTTTAAGCAAACATCACAAATGAAGTTTAAGCTGCTCTTGAAAGCATTAAGTCTTTTGGTACAGATGTTTACCTTTCTTTTGTTGTCACCATCTCCACTTAGAGTACAAAGGAAATAAAAAAATCCTATCCAGTGCTTGCCCATATTCACAAGTCACATACAGATCAGACTTAAACTGTTTCCTGTTCCATCAGAAAATTAAAAAGGATGAAAATGCTGCATGCAGGGAGTACAACACAGAAATGCACTAGCACACACAAATTGCTTTCTTGCATTTTGCCTCCATGGAACTTTGTCTTCCATCAGTAACAAAAGTTGTTAATAAACCATTTCAACTCAGGCAGCTCTGGCAGTCACAGCTACATAAATTGAAAAATTAATTTGATTCGTCAATTCAGTATCAAAATTAAAACTTCCCACCAAAAAGCATTTTTAACAGATACTATCCACTATTATTTCTTCTACAAGATCAACACTGTCATTCACACATGCCCAATACCATCTGTGAATTGTGGGATTTATGTCTATGAAGCATAGCTCCTGTTTACCATGATGTGTGTTGGTAGATAGATCTGTGAGTGCAGGCAAGAGTTGGAGGTACAATCCTCTCATTTCACCACTGGTTCTGCCGCATCCACATGGAAAGAAGAATACACCCCTGGACTTCTAGAAGAACATGAATGAGAAAATACCAGGGGGTATGGTGAATTCAAGTTCTAGGCAAAAATGAAGAGCTGAAAGAACAGCCTTCTCAACAAATTTTATCTTAGCTTATCCTTATACTTAGCAGCACCGATAAGCATCTTTCTCAAATTTACTTGCTGTATAAAATCATTTGCTGAATTGTTTCAGGGAATCATTTCAGGTCTTCACTGAGCTCCAGTGCCATTTCTTGTACATTGTACTCTGCACTGTGTTGAACTGTTTTGCTCAAATATGAAAATCATGTTCAGTTTTCTGTTCCCTGATTACACAAAAGAAATATAAAAGCAAAGCTTCTTCTTGACTATTCAGTTTAGCAAGAACAAAACTTGCTTTTTATGACTACTCAATTCAAATCCTGCCTTGTGTGATCATTCCTGATGAGAAAGCAAACACAGGAAAAGTTCAAAAAATAAAAATAAAAGCTTTTAAAAATGTGAAGGAATACTCCAGCACAACATGGCTATGAACAACATTACTTCATCCATATAACAAGATAAACAAAGGGCAACCTTAAGTATTTCGGAATTGGCCATCTCATTCCCTGCCTTCAGCCAAAATGCAATTTGTTCATAAGTGAAAAAAACCCTGCATGTTAAACCAATCTTAAACTGGCAATCACTGCATCAGTAATCACATTTCACGTGTGCTTCTGCTGTAGAAACTATGATAATTATTCATGCCATATTGCAAAAACACTTTAGCATGTATCATGCTAGTTCTTCAGATATAAAGAATGTAACCAAGAATACCACTTGCAAACGAGCATATAACATATAAGCTCCATTCTTTTCACACCACTCTTTTAATATGTTTGTTAGAACTACTTTTTCTATCTCATTTTAATTTAGACAATCTTTCTTCCTGGGCTTGTCTTTAACAAAGAGAAAAATTGTACTTAATTGTGAGAAAAAGCATGAAAATGCCATAGGCACAAATCCATCATTTCTCTCTTCACCTTAATTCCATGCCAAGGCCCTCAACATCTTGAGGTGGAGGAAAGAATGTATTGCCCTTGTTAAGAGGAATCATGAAAGATACTGCCTTGTTGATTTAGGTAGACTTCCATAAACCACCCTTTGCTAGGAGCTGATTTGTCTCCCACAGGTAAAACACTGGATGCACTGACATCAATGGAAATTTTATCATGACATTTGTTTTGGCCAATATTTAATTCCACAAAGGTATGCAGTCTCAGCCATCACAAAATCCCACTCCTAGGTAACCGTGTGGTACTAGGAACTATGCAGTTGGGCATACAGCTGTAATGGGGTGCCAGTGCTTCACGCTGTACACCCCTGGCAGAAAGCTTGGATTTACCCAAAAGAACGCTACAGAAAAGGACTGCACGGCTTTCTTCTGGAGGACAACTGCGGGTAAAGGATTTGTGTCCATACAATTTGAAGCTTGATCCTGCAAATGCTGGAGGGCTGGTGGTTTACTGAGTGATTTGCCCCAGGGCAACCTGTGGGGGACAGAGAGCCCCAGGTCTCCCAAGGTAATCAGGATACTTTTTTATTGTATGCAGGGACTCAGGCAGAGACAGAGATACCACATTTCAGGCACTGAGGCCTGGTAACTTGAATGAGCATTTCTTCTCAAATGTAAACTGTTCTTCCATCCATCCATCAGTCCATCCATCCCTCCGTCCTTCCACCCACTCACCCACCCATCCCACTCCCGCGCGACAAAAAACAGGACTCAAACGCCCTTCGCCGCGGTTGATTTCGCTGCTGACGCAGGCAGCGGGGCAGGCTGCGGAGGCCGCC